ATGCCAAAATATTGACAAAACTTTTGTCATGATTCTCCTAAAATAAGAACTCAGATAAGGTATACATCATAATTTTTTTCCTCTTAAACAATCTTCATACAGTACTTGGTCTACTTATCTGTCTTAGAATGTTATTTTAACTCTACTACTAGCACAATTGTATTTTTTATTGTCTATCTCCATGTCTAGCTTTTTGTTCAGTGTAAATCCAGCTTTTATGGCCCATATTTAATGATAAATAGTTTTTCATATCTGGTATAATAATTGAAAAGCTCCAATTATTCTGTTCTGTTTTATGTAAACAATATGAACAGAGTGGAGTTAGAAACATAAAATTTGTCAGACCGAATCCGAGTTTTCTTTCATAGAGAATGATTTCAAGGTTATATAAACAATTCTAAAGATGACTGAAAATCCTTTTATGTTGAGTTTAGCAAATCTTTTCCTAAGTATTAGCCTGGAAAGTTTGAGACTCCAAGCTGACTTTAAAGAGTCCTCAAGGATTGTAGGTTATGTAATAAAATATTGGATAGTTGTCTGAATGAGTTTATATGAGTTAATTACATCAGCTTTCAGTCAGGTTTAAAATCAGGCTAAAAGAGAGGTATGATAATTCCTTTCATTTTTCCCCTGCATTCTTAATTGGAAAACAAAATGAAAAACAAGTGGATACCATTAAGAAGTAAAAGGAAAACTATAAATATTCTCTGGAGATTTATTAGTGTATAGCAAGGGAGGATTTTTTATAGCTGAATTGAAAAATAGATTGAGATGCTTAATGTTAGCATATGCCAGTTGTAAATTATTATGCACAAAATTAGCACTTGAGAAAAATGTAGAAGTAATAGTTGAGATGTTGATGAYTTATGGCAATAAATATAGAATAAATTATTTTTATTTGTTTATTGACATAATTTGCAATATGATGCCAAAATATTATATGATATAGTGGGAAGCTAACTTGATTCTAGATTCCCTTGTGTAGATATACCAAAACAGGAAATTTCCTCTGGTTTAGCTGAGCAGTTGTRCAAATTTCAAGTGAGCATGATTGTGTAACCAACCAAAACAACCAAGACAGAGTATATTTGCATCTGTCTTAATGAACTTTCCATCACCGTGACAAAATGCATGAGATAAACTACCTAAAGGAAGGAGTATTTATTTGGCTCAGAGTTTCAGGGGTTGCCGTCCTTGGTCACTTGGCCTAGTTTGTTTGCTTTGGGGCCTGTGGTAACATCATAGTGGTGCAAGTTCATGGCCAAGGAAGACTATTTATCTCATGGTGGCCAGAGAGAGAGAGGAGAGAGAAACACACACACACACACACACACACACACACACACACACACACACAAGTCCTGATGTCCTCTCCAAAGGCACAGAGGACTAACTTCCTTCCATTAACCTTCACCTTCTAAAGGTTCTACCACCTCCCAATAGTGCCACAGACTGATGACTAAGCCTTTAGAATAAGGGTCTTTGGAGGACCTTTAAGATCAAAATCAAAACAGCATCCTACCCTCAAATCTCCCATTTATTTAATGCACTTCATTTTCCCAAACCCCTTTGCCCTCAGCTGCTGGTAATATAAGAGTGATTTTTCTCCCTATAGTTCTAACTCTTTTAGAATGTCGGATAAATGAATTGATAAAAGTATGTAGCCTTTTGAGCCTGGCATCTTTCACTTAGTACAGTGCTTTTGAGATCCACACCTGTTGTTGCATGTATCTTCAGTTGTACCTCCTCCTTGCTGAGTGGTATTCCCTTGTAACTTGTTTATTCACACAGTTGAGAAGTATATAGGTAGTTTTCAGTGTTTGGAGATTATAAATACATCTTATGTAAACTCGGTGAATTGTTTTTTGTTTAAACACATGTCTCCATTTCTCTTGGTCAAACAAATAACTACATACGAGATTGCCAGGTCTCSTGGAAGCATGTGTTTAAATGTTAAGAAACTATCCAGATCGGTTTCCAAAGTACCTATAGCATTTTGGATTCCTATCACAACACACTGGAGTTGTAGTTGCTTCACATAGACTATGTGCTTTTTACAAATTTTAAACAATAATTTCTTTCTTTTTAATTCTTTTGAAGATAAATTATAATAAAAATGGAATTTAATATTATTTTTGAAATAYGTTTGCTAAATGGAAATGGGGTGGCAGGTTGAATTACTTCCATTTTTTCTTAGGAGTTAAAAGAACCTAAAACGAATGCATGTGTGCATATGTTTGATGACAATACTTTCCATGTCATTTAAAATTTAGGGTCAATAATTCAGTTTCCTAAATATATAGGGTGATTACTTGAGAAAAATCCCTAGAGCCTTATTAATGTTTGAGGCTAAATGTCTCCATGTAGATGACAATACCAATCCATCTTTATTTGATGCATTTAGCAGCTCATGAAAAGAACAATTTAGAAGAGTTAGTCAACTTCAAAAAATGTCCAAACCAGTGATAGTTCTGATGTAGGTAGAATTGGTCTCTACAGATAAGGCAGGCCACTTAGACTAAAGTGGTGTTTCAATTGCCCTTTAAGTCATTCAATAATATACTAATGGTACTTAAGCAAAATTTAGCTTCCCTAATTTCTAGAGTGGCAATACTATCTTGCATTCAATGCTTAATGTTTGTATTTTATTATGCTTCCTTTCTTTCTGGGACCAACACCAGAGATGAAAGTGAATTTTACAGAATAGAGACACTTGGACTTATTTTCTTTATTGAGCATTTTCTTGAGACTAGATCCATCACATAATTTACAAAGCCTTTTTATAAGCTTGAATTAAAATAGGGCAAAATAGAGTTAAACCTCAAGGTTTAAAAATTTGTTCTTGAGATATGATCTGTTACCAAAAGGCTTTTTTATTGTAATGAATTTCTGAGTTAATATTCAAAAGAGACAGAGACTGCAAATTAGACATACAGTTTGACATTTTTAGCAACTCAACTTGAACCTGTTGTCCATTAACTCTCAAAAATCCTAACACTTAGGGGATTAGCATATTGAAGACGTTTTGGTAAAAACTATGATTAACTTGTATGTCAGAGTGAGACCCACTCTCTTCTCTCTGGGATTGCTTCTGTTTTCCCACTGGAAATGAATGTTGATAAAAGCAACAACAAGTTTCTCATACAATGTGAAGAAAACTAATACAGAAATAAGCTTATGCAAAGCCTGCTCTGGGTTACAGATATATTTTTTTTGCTGAAATTTCATAAATGGCCAATTCTTCAATTTGTTGACTATAGAAGGAGAACATTTGAGCCCACACACTAAAATGGATATCTCTCACTAAATTTAGCTTACAGATGTATAACAGTGAACTTTTCCATTGAATTTGGGGTGTTGTCAGTTTTTTAATCCCTTCTCATTAATAAAGTAGTAAGAGTCATAAAGAAGTGTAGCCAAGTCATTCTGTTTATTCTTATTTACACAGATGTGTTCTTTTTATTGGCAATTCTTCTGAGCTGTTTATTAACATGTTCTGTGTTGTATTGCAGATGGATATCTGCATATTGATCCAAATAATTTATTACTAGTAATTAATTTTTCTTCTCTTGTGCCTTGCCCTCTTTGCTAATCATTTACAGATTCTTTTTGTATAAAACAAAAAAAAATTATAGTATGTTCTGCCAAAATTTGATGGCTGATTTCTGTTTATTGAGAATAATTGTGTGATTTGGTACTGGGCTTTCTTCCTGCTTTTATTTTTTTTTTCTGTCTGCCTATATTATTTCTTTCAATCAGGACAGTGGTGAAAAGAAAAATGCATTTTATATTTGGAATGATTCATTGTAAGGCAGCAGGAACATTCTTGTATACATAACACCATTAAATGTTCCTCAGGCAATATCAGGTTAACTGTATTTGCCCACTAGTTAAGTGCTTCATCATTTCTCCAGTTGATTAATATCCTTCATGACAAATCAGAGGAGAAAACCCTGAGAGTCCTCAGGAAAGCCTTGAATGATGAGGCAAGGTGGCAAGAGGTTTAAGGTCAACAATTTGACCTTTTACAATTCTCCCTGGACTAGAACATTGTTAGGTGATTTAGGTGATAACTTTTGGTGGATAATAGAATTTGTGAAAATGAAATAATTTCAGCTCCCCACTTACAGCATTGGTGAAGAAAAATAAAATGGAAACTTATGTTCATATAATAGTGGAAAAAAGAACATGTTAAAAGTTTGAGTTTGCTAGAAGTTCTTTACCATAAAATTATGGAGAGATTCCTAGTAAGTAGGCAACACATTAGCATAAGTATTAAAATAATTCATCATGATTAATACTGTTATAGTACATCTCAGCCTGAATCACAATATGCCATATACTATAGTGGTTTGTCCATATTTCGTATTTTACTGTAGTTTTGTGGAATGGCAGCTCCAGTAACAGCACAAATGTCATCCAAGTTCACTGTGATTAATGTGGCTCCAGTGGAGATCTAATAAGGATTACCCAATTTCATAAAGTGTTACTGAATAAGGTCCATGTGAGAAACATTTTAAATCCCTTGAAAATGTATATTCTGGCATGTAACTCTGGGAGCCATTGGATTTCTAGAATGATGAGGAAATTGACTCTTGGAAATAGATAAACTACTGATAGGAAAAAAGCAAAAGAGGGGACAGGGAACAATAAATTGCCTTTCAATACTTACAGGCTCAGAAGAAAACAAGACAAATCCAGAACTAAGGTTGAAAGTGATAGGAAAGTAGCAATAATCTGAAATAGTGAAATGTCAGAAAATTGAAATTCATCAGAATTACAGTGTGTTCCATGGTTCTAAAGAGCCCTCAAATAATATTTCCAGTTACTGGAAGAAGCCAAGGAGAGGCAAGATGACCACTTTGGAAACTATTGTGGAGTGTGTTTTTAAAGGTTTAGAAGAGGATTTTTTGGGGGTAAATTCTGAGTTCCTTTTCAGGTATGAACTTCCACAATGTGATGTCCTATACAACATCAATAACTTTTTACATTTTTCTTAGATTTTGGTGGAGGCTTCTGTGGGTGATGGCTTCACTGGAGATATTGCAATTGATGATGTATCATTCATGAACTGTACCCTCTACCCAGGTAAGAGAKAACATTTCTATATATGAATGTTTCTAAACACATTTACTTGGAGAAACTGCCAAAAAAATCAATATTTCATTTTTTCAAAATATACTAAAATGCCCTCACTTCTATTGTTCCTCAAATAATTAACTCTGGAAACATGGTTGTAAATCTTTGCTAGCAATTCTTTTAAAATCTGCAAACATGTAAAGTTCTTTGAGTCAGCTATGTCTGTGTCCTCTCACCTGCAAAATGCTAGGAAGAAATGTCAGAAGTTACAATGTAATTTCCTTATCTTCAAGGAGTTAATATAAGCAAACCGATTGCCTTATGATTACATCGTGTTTGAGAATTCATTCATCTCTCAGTTACCTTCAGTTACATTTTACTCCTGAGCTACACTTCAAATATTCTAAATGTTGGCAACATTTCATCTTCCCCATTTTATAGATTTATATCTATTAAAAACACAATATGTGTTTCCCAGATTTATACCTCTATTCCCAAACTTTCCTCTGAACTCCATATTTATTTACTACTCAACATCTCAGTCTGRATGTCTAATAAGCATCTCAAAGATAACTAGGGAAAATAACTTAAAACAAACATAGCACAGGCTTGAAATCTCGACATTGGGGGAAACTCATTCTGGATAGTGCACAGGGATCCAGTTAAGACTGGAAGTCAAATTCTTGGAGGTGACCCTGGAACTCATGTGGGAAGCTCTTAAATGGCATTACAGGAGACACACTCCTCCCTGGAGTGAACAGAGGCTGGCACCCAACAGCACTTTTAATTGATGACAACTAAAACTTCAGTCCCCTTCTCTCACCTGAGCATCACTGGGCAGGAGAGGACAGTCCCTCCCCAGGCATAGCCAAGGGATCCATTTCAGTCCTCATGGTGCTCCTCTGGTCCTCCCCTCCACCTTAGTGTTATGGCAGGATTGATTGCCTTCACCCCTCTGTGTCATGCTTTATGTAGAACTCACAGAAAGCCAATTCCTCAGAAGGCCAGCAAGCAGAGAAAATTGACCAAGTTTACCCTCACTACTCAACGTCTGAAAGGAAACACCTGATGAACTAGTTCTCTATATTCTTCCAYTCTCATACTTTCCTATCTTGGGAAATGAGTTCATTTCTAGTTGCCTATTCCACATTAACTAACCTGGGAAGCCATTAGCCTCTGATCTCTCCAGAACCCATTATAGCTCTTCACTTTCACTAATTACTCCTTGGTTCAAGCCAGCCTCATTTACCATGGATTATTGCAGTTGCTTTTTGAATGATGTCTCTGCTTCAATCCTTGAACCAGATACTCTATTTTAAAAACAGAAAGCTGAATGGGCTTTTTAAAACTTAAATAAGAGCATATCCCTCTATCACCAGAGTCTTCTTATGACTTTCTCATTCAGAGCAAACATCACACTTCGGCTAATATCTTAGAATAAATGACCCGCTCCCTCAGACTTCATGACATCAATTTCTACCAGTGTGCCTCTAGTTCATTTCTCATAAATGCAAAGGCCTCTTGCTGAGTTCTGAAGCACTAGGCAATTTATAGTCAGGGCTTTTCCATCTGCTTCTCCCTTCTTCCTGGAATATGCTTCCTCTAGATGTCCACTTGGCTCTCTTCCTTAATTCCTTCTGATCTCTACCCAACAGTTCTTCTTCAATAAAGCCTTCCCTGAACACTATATCTATATAATCTCTTTGACTTTTTCTGTGTCTGTTCTCTGTGGTTTTTTTCCTCCACAACACCTGCCATGCTTAGAGTTCAATTCCTCACCCCCCACCCCGGCTCGATTGATGTTAGTTGCATGAAAGCTGGCACAGGACCTGCTCATTGTTTTATCTTCAGTAGCTAACACAGTACCTGGTATATGGTAGTACCCATGAATATTTGTTGGATGGACAGGTAGCTACAGAGATGTGTTTTATATTCCTTCATTTTCAATTTTAACTTATTGCTAAAGTATTAAGTACTTTTGTGTGCAAGATATTATGTTATGTGTCAGTCAGATTTTTGAAAGCCAAATCTCTGTAGATTAAAACCACAAACATTTCTTTCTTTTTCTCAAGGATGTGGTTTGGCTTAGAATAATAACAGCAATGATATATGCTTCTAAGCTCTGTATCCTTTTTCCTTGTATCTTGTCAGTCTGGGACCACAGCTAAAGGACCACATCCCTATCCTGGGATATTCTATTGTCAGAGGGTAGAAAAAGAAAATGAAGCACACTACATTCATGTGTACCAYGGGCATGGTACACATCTTTTCTGCCCATTTTCATTGCCAGAGAAAACCATTTGGTCGAGTCTAACATTGGGGTAGGAAAGTAATCTCCAGCTACTGGAGCCCAGGAAGGTGGTAAAGAAATTCCTCATAAAGAGAGGGAGCTACTAACTGGGCATAATAATGCAATCAACCATTCATGTGTTGTCTCATAAAATCCTGTTATATTATAAGAATCTAGAATAGTGCCTGGTTCATTAGAGATGAATAGATGTTGAACACTGAATACAATTGGTGTCTTAGTCTTCCCYATTTTATGGAGAAAACTGAGAAGGAGATAACCTCCCAAATGGTATCGAGCTGTAATGTAAGACACAGATCACTGTATCTATATCCTGAGACCATAATGTCAACCACTAGTATTATATACTACCCATCAAATGCACTAACCCTATAAGGAACAGCTGACAGTTTGCATTTTACAGTTTTGAAAAAATGAAACTTAGAGAGCACAAGTGACCCAGATAAGAATATGCAGTAAAGGGCAGGAATGGGATTATAACCTAAGCTCCCTCTGATTTTAATGGCCAGGGCTTTTCCTACATCCCCGCCCAGTATGAGATTAGAGAGAATCACTGTGACCTTGGAGGCAGAGGAGAAAAAAACGAACTCAGCAATGCAACATGAATCATCCCTGGAACTGCTGATTCCCCAATTATCCTGTGAAATCTGTTCTTTGGCTGATAGTTCCAAGGTGGAGGTGGAGGTGTTGCCAGAGGCACAGACAGAGAAGTGAAATATCAGTTACACACTGTTAGTCCCAATTTTCTGGTTCAAGTTTTGGAAGAAAAATATGAAACTTTTAATACCACCTAAACTGTGTAGTTTCGGTGTTGGCTTCATAACAAATTAAACTTGGGGTTAAAACCACAAAGCCTATTGAAGTCACAGGTTTTAGAAAGGAATTTGATGCCATCACACCATAAGATGCCACACAAAAATACAATAAAAATATTGCTCTTGATGCTTATGGGCTTTTTTCATAGCATCATGTTATGTTAGCTGAGGTGAGACTTATGCTTGTCTGTTCACTTATAGACATCAATTTGTTTTCAATATTAATTGATTACCTATGGCATTTGTCCTTGTTAGCCAAAGCACACACACATATACACACACACGCATAAAAACACAAACACTTACCTAATTTCCAAAGTACACATTTTATGTTACTCATAATTATCATTTTATATGAAATGGCTCTAAAGGTGATTATTCCATCTATATCTGTTACTTCAAATTCAACCTCTCTTTCCTTCTCGGCCTCCTTGTTACTTTTAATCTCATCACTCTTCTTTATCCATTCCAGCTGAAATTCCACTATCATCTTTGCCTTTCCTCTTACACTTGTCCAGTTGCAAATCCTGCCGACTACAGCCCCAAATATTTCTACATCTGCCTGTTTTTCCCAATTACCTCTGCCATGACCTGCTTAAAACAGTATTGACTTAAATGGGAAGCTAACTATAAACGTTTATTAATCTTTCCCCAGGAGCTTTTATGCCACTTAGTTTCTTGTCACTTTGCTCTTCCAGGTCCATTCTTGCATACTCTATCTTCTAGTTGTTTCTAATTTAATTTTCAAATCATTCTTCATTACAGATTTTGTACTTCAATACTTTGATGATARTGTTAATTTTTTTCATCTTTCTTGAGGTAGAATCCACAAAATTGGGTATTTTTAAGTTGTGTAATGTAATATTTTATTACATATGGACATATGTGAAACAATTACCACAATCAATATAATTAACCATACCTATCACCTTGCATAGTTACTTTGTGTGCATATTCATGATCTACTTTCTTAGCAAATTTCAAGTATATAATACATAACTGTTAACTGCAGCCATCAGAAAATTACTCGTGATATAATTGAAAGTTTGTATATTTTGATCAACATCTCTTGATTTCCCCTGACCCTTGACCTCTGTTTCTCACTCCTCCACTCACTGTCATGTGGGTTCAACTCTTTTAGATTCCACATATAAGTGAAATCATGGCAGTATCTGTCCTTCTGTGTCTACCTGATAAGATATTTGACATATCTGTCCAATGTGACATATTGTACATGGCATTTTGCTACTACCCCAATGTCAGGGTTTTGTGGTTTTTTAAAACTAATACTTTACATGTGTTTGTATCTCACATTTTCTTTAGTCATTCATTCATTCATCCATTCACGTACATTTAGGTTATTTCCATATCTTAGCTGTTATGAATCATGCTGTGATGAACAGAGAGAAGTACAGATACCTTTTGAAGACAGAGATTTTATTTTCTCAGGATATGCACTCAGAATTAGAATTGCTGGATCATATGGTAGTTTTTCTTTTAATATTTTGAGGAACCTCAATAGTGTTGTCCATAATGTCTATCCTAACTTATATTCTAACCAACACTGTATTAGGGGTTCCCTTTTCTCCACATCCTCACCAACACTTGTTATCTTGTGATTTCTGATAATAAATATCCTAACAGATGTGAGACAATAACTCACTGTGGTTTTAATGGCATCTTTGATCATTAATGATGTTGGGAAGCTTTTCATAATTCTGTTGCCTAATCATTTGCTTTCTTTGGGAAAAATATCTATTCAGTCCATTGCATAATTTTTAACTGGGTTATTTGTTTTGTTTTGTTTTGTTTTAATATTTTGACATTGAGTCCGATGAATTTCTTAGATATTTTGGGTGTGAACTCCTTATTGGATATGTGGTTAG